ATCAGCACAAATTCAACACACATACATACATACATATATATTTAAAGTCACAACCCCTGGTATGCCCAAATATGGGAGGAAGGTCACTACTTCCATTCTCTGTCCTTCGGCTGGTCACAAGACTTTATTTATCAGCACAAACATAATATATATGTGTGTGTGTGTGTGTGTGTGTGTTTTTATATATATATCGTGTTTTTGTGTGCGTGTATCCACATATGTATTAAAAATGCATTTTGATATGCACGTATTGAGCTGCATCTTATATAAAAACGGGCCACTGCACTGCGTGCACAAAACGCGTCTCAACTTGCTTGCAAGTTTTGCAAACCGGAGATAAATTTCCTCTGCGTTGTTTATAAACTTAAAGCGATCCCAGCCAAACTCCGCCCTCCCCCTCGCAAAGCGCCTGTCAGATTCCTTCCTGCCCGCCCCGCCTCCCAGGTAGACCCGCCCCCTGAAGAAGCCGGGCTTTCCCTGTTCAGCCTAGTCATCTTAAACTTTTCCCTCCCCTTCCTCCTGATTGATTGACACCCTTATCCCGCCTCCTCCCCCTCCGATTCGCCTCCGAATTGGCTCGACCTTATCCACCGGCCCTCATTGGGTGACGGGAATTCTGAGGTACGGCGTCGCCATTGGCTGACCGCCGGAGGACTAGGAACCCGGATGTGTCTGCGAAGATCCGGCTTGTCGGCGGGATCATGACGGGTAACGTGGCCCCGGACCCCCAGGGCCCCCCCGCGGGACAGGAAGGCGCCCAGTTCTTCCTCCAAGCAGGTGAGAGGAAACCGGCGTGGGGTTGTTCCCTTCGGGGCATCCATGGGAGCAGTTCCCGAATCTAGGGCTTTAAAAGATAATATAAAATCCAGCCTCCATGTTCAGGAGCAGTATATCGTTCCTACGCATACGAACAGGGAAAGAGCGGGCTGTCTGGTTGCGCCTTTAACACCTTTCACAGAGATGGAGGAATTCTAGTCTCTGGCGGAACTCGGGGGGTGGGTTCCCCTCTCCCCAGAGAGGACTGTCGGGACTACAGTTCCCATCATTCCCGGCTGCGTGGGATTCGAGCTTTGGAAGCGAACGTCATAAATGGATGCAGGAGGAGAAGGAGGAGGGCTTGATGACGTCCTCCTTTCTTGCAGAGAGGAAGCGTGATGATAACCGATAAGTGTAATAACAGCAACAACCCCAGTGATACCCATTGCCATCAGGGCACTTTGCACCATGTCCCAAGAATTTTACAAAACACATAAACAGATTGCAGCTTCCTGCAATAAACACCAGCGGAACTGCAAAAAACTGCGCTACTCAGAACATCATATATTTTAAGAAGGTATATCCTCTGACGTTACCTTACCAGTTCCTAGGTCCTTGGTTAGGACGTGAGCTGTTGAGCTGCCAACCAGCCCTAAAGGCTTTGAATCTCACCAAAGATTAAATAATAACAATGACAACAATAATAAAATCATCTCACCAAAGATTAACCTAATAGTTTAATAATGAATAAAGCATAATAATAATTGTAAATGACAGTGCAAAGAAAGAGGGTGAAAGCTGGAATGCTTGCTCTCAATGGAGGGTGTTATGCATGAAGGAAGAGCCTTGAAATGGCACGAAAGGAAAGAGAAATACAACAAAGATGATAAGGGGTGCCTGCAGGCTAAATAAATAGTCAAGGTTATGTTTTTCCAAATTGCAATGTATGGCTGTGAAAATTGGATCATAAGAAAGGCTGAGCACCAAAAAATTGAGGCCTCTGAACTCTGGTGCTGGAAAAAAACTCCTGCGAGTCCCTTGGACTGCAAGGCAATCAAACTGGTCAGTCCTAGAGGAGATCAACCCTGACTACTCTTTAGAAGGGCAGATCCTGAAGAGGAAACTCAAATACTTTGGCTACTTAATGAGAAGAAAAGACTCCCTGGAGAAGAGCCTAATGCTGGGAATGATGGAGGGCAAAAGAAGAAGGGGATGACATAGA